AAGTCAGCCTAGTAGTCATTCTGGTGGATTCTATATGATCGCTTAGGAAATCGTGCTTGGGAAGTCAGCTTGCTGTTCCGTATTGGTGGATTCCATACGAACAGTAAAGTTGGGCCGGTAAAATCGATCCAAGTTTGATAAAATTCACGGCGCAGTCGTGGCGTTTGTAGCTCAGCTAGAAGAGCATTGGCTTCACGTAAAGGCCTTCTCTACTATGCGGGTACAAATCCCGCCGAACGCCGCAAGTTTTTTTCACAATTGGGTCAACTTAAATCACAGTAGACAACTGAAATTCCGTAAACACCGCAGTGGTACAAGTAGTCTGGGACGAATATCACGATCTTAGCTTGATGCAGGTCACCTGATCAGACGACTTGGTGACAACCACGTGGCAGGGGACTGAACGAATGTAGAAGCATGGGAAACACGAAGACGGTTAAAAACCAGACAGTGATATCGGAGACAGTCCCAGGTTAGAGCAAAAGAGAGAGATCATAGAATACTCAGAGTTTAAAGGTTTACACGATATCCACATCTGTTATGGAGACAGGTCAGCTTTCAACTTCTCAATTTCCGTTTCTTTCCACGTGAGCTGGCGTGCTAGGAATGGGAGTACAGATTAATGATATGCCGATGTATGGCAAGACATATGACGGAAGCTTTGACGCATAGTACGGGAAGACATTGCAGCCTTTAGTTCAGAGTGGAGAGGGTGAGCGACCTCACTAAGGATGCGATCAGCAAATTACTTGAACTTCGGATAGTTGCATGCACCTACATCCGCCACCGTTAGTTAGCTCCAGTGCTCAAATAAATGTGCGACCGACACTTTACCTCGTAAACCAACGTCGCCGCCGACTTTTTAGGAGACAGTAACTGATTTAATTATGTTAAAAGAGTGATACTGGAGCACTTTTCGCAAAGGCTGCGATACTTTTCCGGTGGAACCGATTTTGCTGTTTCAAGTCTGATAAGGGGGGTTTAGGGGAAAATGAACCAAAACTCCTCCAGTAGCCTACCTCTGTCGCGAGGGCGGTGAGATCGTTGGGCAGGAAACTGCGGGCTACATGCCGTGCTGCATTACGGCCCGCCGCCTTTGCCTGCAGGAAAGTCCTCGAGAGGATGCTGGAGCCAAGCCAGGGCTCCGGTAGACAGCGATAGTCGGGCAGGCCAGTTGCTGGCTCGACGGTAGAGCTGAGAGCCCGCAGGACAGAAACCTCATCGCGATAGCGTCTCCTCGGTGGTTCAACTTTGCCGCCTGACTCTTCAGCCGCCACTTGCGATGACTGCAGACGAGTTTGACGC